TTTCTCTCCACAGTGAGTAAATCAGAGTGAAAGCTTGGCCGGCTTTTCCACATGTTAAAAACCCCACACAAAACAGTGACCTTCGACCGGGGGGTGTTGAGGCCGCGGCCTAATTATCTCCCTGTGTGTTTCAGAGTGAGTCCTGCAGACCCTCTGCTGCGTCTGTCAACTCTGCTTACACTTGTCTCCTTTTAACTGTTGGACAATGTGGACAACAGCTCCTCGAAAGCTATAAATTATCCTGACTTAAAACACCAAGAAGGCCATAACCACATTTCATGACACGTATATGACTTTTTTAGTACTTCAAATGTAGTAGCTCTTTACCTACCAACAGCCAAACCTTTAACACATGGGACTTTAGCTGAAGCTAGCAAATTAGCAGCTTCTTCCCCCAGAGACATCTGCGTCTGCAAATGAATGAATAGACAAATAGCTAACCAGCACAATCATGACTACACAGGAGGGATATAAATCTGCATGAACTCGTCCTCTCTGGGGCGCTCTCAGTCCAAAGCCTAAGAATAAATCACGTCCCTGGGAAAAAGGAGGACGAGTTATCGCCAGAAAACAGAGCCCTGAGAGCTGATAGTCGCTGCTACTGACCATGCGTTGGACGACTAGCGGCGTACAACCATGTGTTCAGCTGAAACAGATCTGCAACACTTAATCTCCCTTAGGTGACCCCTGGATGACCTCTGATTTAAATAGGAGGGTGCAGACTGCTACCAAGGACAAGGACATGGGCCCAAACTCAGATTGTATGTTTCTTACTCAAATTTATGTTTAATGATTATGATTAATAATTCAATGTTATTTTTGGTCTTCATCTGTATTTGTTGGTTTACTCAGAGTGCAGAGTTTTTTAGTTCTTGAATGACATATATATTTTTTCTAATCCTTGAATTGTGCAGTTAAATATGTAGAAATTACGATAATGAGCCATTCAGGTTTTCCACTTTTCTCTAATCTCTGGCCTCTTCTATTCTGAATCTGAGTGACCCCCCCGCCTTGTTCTTATTCCAGAGAAGCTCAAAATATCTCACCTTATGCAGACGACACATTGATTTATATGCAGGTGTGTGTGGTCCCAATCTCTGGTTGGGTGCAGCAAACAATGTACTAAAATGTCATGCTATTAAAACAAATCAAAGTCAGTCAATTCTAAATGTTTTGATCCTGACATACTGCCTTGTACTAAGCAGATGTCTAAGCTGGTATGGGATAGGATCCGCTTCCTGTCCTCAGAGTCCAAACTAAACCAGAAGATGAAGTCCGCTTTTTTCAAATAAAACTAGAGACTTTTCGGTTTACATTTTTAATAATTGGTGACATCGATTATGTCTTGCAAAAATGTGTTTGTGCCTATTTTAGATTTTTTTTCTGTTCTAGTTAGTCTACCCCTCGCTCGTCTTTTTTAAGGAGTGTTTTATTATTGCCTTGTGTTTCTTGACTCCTTTCTATGTTATGTAATAGCGGTTAGAAGGTGTTGCACCAATAAACTTGAATTTTTATGGACGTCTGTTAGTGTTTAATTCCTCAACAAGAGCTGATGTTCTTTTTTTTTCCTGTTAGAGATAAATCCCGCTCAGATCCGTATGTGATTCGCTGTCTCTGCCGTGATGTCACAATCCTGAGCTCCTCTGTGTTTCTGATCGTGGCGTGTTGTGGCTGTGGCCTGGTTTTATACTGACATGAGGCAGGCGGGGTGGAGGGGGGGGCGGGGGGTTAAGGATGGTTTGCGTGTCAGCAGTGCGTTTGCGTTTGAGTGCACAAATGTGTGCATGCATGCATGACAAAAGTCCTTCTTTCTCACGTGTCTCTGCATGTGGAGAAGTGTCTGTTTGTTTGTGCTGCTGCAGCCGTGCAATAAAATCACACCCAAACAAACACACACGTATATAACTGCGGGGGAATGCTGCTAACACCGTTTCTGATGTAGGAAGACGGTCCTGCTGTGATCAGGCTACATCATCTGGATTAGCATGATCTTCTTATTATTATTTTACTCGACTCATCAATCATTTTAAAATAGATTTCTCCTTAAAGATATTTAAGAAAAATGGCAGACGCTTTCATTTTCTGTCATTCTGACGTGTGTTTCTGTTTCTCTATTTTTATTTTTAAATCAAAGGACACATAATGTCTTTGGGTTTAGGAACTATAAGCTGCATAATGCTATAATCCACAGACAACAATTGTTTGTTGTGATCTTTTGAAGCCAACAATACTTATTTGAAATATTATAATCTATGTTTATATATAATGATTTGTTATTTTAAATGGTTATTCTAGTACTTCGAACACAGGGTCTATTTTTACATTTTGGGGGAAATAGGAAGCTCACACTGTGCGACTAAATCGTTTACAGTGCACCACCAGAGCTCACGATTTGTGTGCTCACACTGTACACCCCGATTGTCGGGCCTGACTTGAGACCTCACACTTTATTAGTTAAATCAGCACGAATCATTCAAAATCGTCAATAGAAAACTCTCATAGACAGAGGTTGAAGTCATCTCTGTGTCGGATATTTTAGTTTATACAAATTCACACAAAGACAAAAACGCTCCATCTCTCTCCTTCTCACAAACACACACAATCTGCATCATCAACTAACACACCTTTACTAGCAGTCAAGCAGGTGATCAGGCTGTGAGCCGCTATTAAACCTTGGCAGGTGATCAGGCTCAAATTAAGCCCGACATCAAATGTATTTATAAGACTCAAAAATCGTGTCTAAATCCTGAAAAGGTAAAGTGTACACCTGGCTTAAGAGTTCTTGTTTTACCTGTCACAGTTGCAGCTCGTCTCACAAAAAAAGTCCTTTATTTCCATGCCCTACTTCACATCCGCACACATCCACAGCTCTTTTCTTTTGAAAACATCAGTTCCTTCTGTTACTGTCAAAGACAAGATAACAGGTAATGGTTATAGTTCTAAGAAAAGATCGTTTGATATTTTTGCTGATATTTGGGTTTTCTGCCTGTTTAAGCACGTTTTATTTTCTGTTGCCTGAACTTTTGTTGTAATTGGTTATGAAGCCAACCTCCTCCATGATAACAAATGGTCATGACATGGACATTGGTGAAAAACAAAAATCAAGACACCAATAACTTATAGTTTGTTCTCATCATGCTGATTTATTTCCAATCATCCATTTTTCTGAACCATTTAGTTTCAACTAGTTATTTTCAATAACGTCGTGAGAGAGTTCTGGTGACTAAAGTGGCTCCTGTGATGGATACTGCTGTAGACTGTGTCGACCTGCTGCAGTAGACTGTGCTTACCTATAAGTTGGGCAGACCTGTAGACTTAATTTACCTGCAGTAGTCTGTGCTGACCTGCTGTAGATTGTGCCAACATGCATAGGCAACCTTGCTGTTAACTGTGCACTAGCTTGTTTCTATCTATAGACTGTGAACATGTAGACTGGGCTGAGCTGCTTTAGTCTGTACAGGCCTGCAGTAGACTGTGCCGATCTATTGCTGACTGTGTCGTCCTGTAGTAGACTGAGCCTTCCGGCTGTAGACGACCTGCTGTAAAAAAATGTAAATGCTGTAGACTGTGCCGACCTGTAGACCAGGCTGCTGTACTGCAGACAGAGCCGACCCGATGTAATCTGTGCCAACCTGCCACAGACTGTGTTGACTTAGGGTAGACTGTGCCATCTGCTGTAGACTGTGCCGACCTGTAGACTGCGGGCTCTTTGTCAATTTGCCATTAAGTTTAATGTGACTTTGGGGTCTGGTTAGGGGCCGAAGCACAATAACCAATCTTCGTCTAAAATAAAATGTATCAGAGCGATGCGTAAGCAATATTTTGGCTTCACTTTTAAACAACTAGGGCAGGGGCTGAGGGTCATCCTTCTTTGTGTACAGCAAATGCTTGAAACTGTTTATGTCCTTACCCTTACCAAACAAATAGTGCTACTCGTCACGACAAAAGAGAGCATTTACCGACAACATGATTGCAAAGGGAAGAAAAATCTTTTCTTATAAATTGTCCGGGAAAATTGGCACCACGCTGCTTCAAAATTGAATCCAGTTAAAAAAAAAACGAATTGCTCAGCATGTCGTCTCTACTTGGAACCTGTTGAAAACAAACTTTCTCCAAATAAAGCCCCGGGGCTTCACCTCGACCTGAATCCAATCTCTAATGTGCAACAACAGTTCAGACCCTCCGAGAAGCACGTTTCAGCCTTTTTGTAGTTGCACTGGCGACGCATTTGAGGTGCCTCGAAATCCCCCACATAAAAATACTAGAGGACGCTTACTAGCAGTCTGATTATCCACTGCCTGAGCTACATCTTTGTCCGTCTTTTTTCCCGCCTCAGTCCCTTTTATTTCCAATGAACCGCTGATTTAATCCTCGCTGGGGTCTGCCTCAATATCCGTCTACAATCCTGTCCACAAGGCCTTCTCTTCTTTGTCCTGGTCCCCCGCCACAACCACCTCCGCCCCTCCACTCCACTCACGAAGAGGCTGCAAATCTTCACAGTGATCTACAAGCTTGTGGAATAAAGGTTTGCTTTTATTTTTCAACTTCACACTGGTGTTTTTCCAGCATGTGGTGCTTCATGAGCCACTTTTCCTCTTGAACCTGTTCTGACAAAAACGCTTCACAGTGATTTCATGTGATGTGACATGACACCCACACATGGCTCCTGGTTCTCCATTATGATCATTATATCCTGCCTCTGCTCCATTGTACTCCAATTAAAGCCCAATTAAAAAGTTGTCCTGACCCTCCAGGCTGTGTCGTCGGGTTTTCTCCTCAGACTGAGACTTCTTTGTCCCTTGGTACGTCAAGAAAGCTCATGAATCTTATTTTATCACCTGAAGGCCTCACTTTCTCTGCAGTTTACTAATAAAGCCTCAAAACGGCCTGCACGGTTACGCAATCCCGCGTGTTGCAGGAGGCAGACAGACAGAGGGAGGAGTGCCCAACAACTGCTCGCTAAGAGTGAATATGAGTGTGTTGTGTAACCGGCTACTCACCCACTACTCGTCCCCTCTGTTCCAGGCGTCGTGTGTCGGTGGGTATGCCGGGCTCGATGCCCTGCAGTCCGGGGGCGTGTTGCTGCCTCTGCTGATGCTTCTGCTCGGGCTTTGTTCTGTCCGCCCGCTCGTCCCCCGCCGTCTTGTGCTTACCAGCCGCCGGGGAGCCTCCGTTGTCCGCGGGGCTGGTATTGGCTCGACCCCGGGTCTCCCACGACTGCAGCTGGAGCCGAAGCCGGTGGTTTTCCTGCTCTTTCACGGCCGTCTCCAGCAGCAGCGTGTTCAGACTCGACCCCACTGTCTTGCTTATTTCCTGCACAGCGAGCTGGACGACCTGCTCCAGCACGGACTCCAGCTGGCCCTGGAAAAACGAAATGTACACGGCCCCGTTCATGTTTTCGCCCCCCTCCGGTAAGAGGGCTTTCTCATTCTTCTGTAAGCCGTGCCCCCCCGACCCACCCACCCCCTGCCCTGTCTCCCCCGACAGAAAGCTGGGTAAAAAAAAATGTGTTCCCCGGGTCTCTCGGCTCCTCCAGCGGGTGATCGGTTCTCAGTTCTTCGGCTGCTTGCTCTCTCCACCTCGGCTTCTCAGCGCGTGTTCAGCCCCCTCGGAGGCTGCCGGAAAGACCCGAGTAGAGGCGCAGCAGCATTTCCCGCCCACATGTCTTGGCCCACGCGCGCCGTGCACGCTGGCGCCCTTGCAGTCAGCCACGCCATTTTGGCTTTCAGAAAATAACATCAGTCAAGACTAGAGAAACACACTTACTACTCTGAAATACCTTTAAATTGACACACATTTCTGGGATTAAGTGAAGTAGGACTCATAAATACTAACAAGTGTAGACTATTTGTGACAGAGACTAGGATGCTGAGTTTATTTTTACCTTTCTACTGTTTTTCATAATCAGTCACTCAATCAATCAATCATTTTTTATTTGTATAGCGTCAACTCATAACAAGTGTTATCTCGAGACACTTTACAAAAAGCAGGTAAAATACCTTACTCTTTGTCTGTTAACATTACAAAAGAGCAGGTAAAAACACCATACTCATTGTTATGTTACAAAAAGCAGGTAAAAGACCTTACTCTTTGTCTTTTAACATCACAAAAGAGCAGGTAAAAACACCATACTCATTGTTATGTTACAAAAAGCAGGTAAAAGACCTTACTTATTGCTATATTACAAAGACCCGGCCTATCCATCATGAGCACTTTTAGCAAAGCAGCAAAAGTTACAGTGGTAAGAAAAAACTGCCTTATTGTTAGTATGTATTCTCATGGATTCATTCATCTTGATAATTTTGTGGACATATCTTTAAATTGTGTCAACCATCTCACAGTAATTCTACTTTTGGGTCTGTGAAGGTGTAACCTCATATGGTGAAACATGTAAATTATAGCAGATCAATGTTTGGATAGGAGCCAACCATATGTTGTCAGCATTGTTTTATAGTGATGTACCCAAATGGAAAGGAATTTGTGGGCTGTACCTTCTAGCAGAATATAAGCCACACTGTGTGATGAAGACTTAGCCATTTTGCCATTTTGCCCATGATGGCCACTTTGCCAATGATTGTCAATGATTGTGAGATCTTGGTCAGCATGGGTCAGCGATGGTCTGCACTTTGTCAGCGATGTGTGTTGTGTTTCTGTGTTGTCTGACCATGGCTGAATAAATCTAAGATGATCTACAGTCTGTTTCACGTTTTCATAATTGTCCATCTACTACAGAAATAACCCCCACCTAACACTTATTAAAAGGCAGAGATCTTCGGCTGGATCCCCGGCTCATGATGAAACAGCCTTCACAGGCCTAGACTGCGCCAGACTTGGAAGGGGATAGGGGGAGAGATGGGATAAGATGCAGGAAGAGGGATAGGGAGCAAGGGGGTTGGGGGAGGCAAGCCGTCCATCAACAACCCTTCCACACAATATTTTATACTTCGCTTACGATCTGTCGTAGCTATAACTTCATACAAATTAGTTTAAGGTTTTCACAGTTCTCTCTTATCTTAAAAAGTGTAATCTTTTGGGGCGCTGTTTGCGCAGTGGTTAGTCCCCATGTATGGAGGCTAGTCCAAGCGGGCGGCCCAGGCTCAAATCCTGCCTGTGGCTCCTTTACCACATATCATTCTCCACTCTCTCTCTCTCTCTCTCTCTGATTTCCGACTCTATCCACTGTCCTGTCTTTTCAATAAAGGCACAAAAAGCCCAGAAATAAATCTTAAACAAACACAAGACTTTAAACAACTTCAGGTTGATTGGGAAACAAAATGTTTTCAAGTTTCCAGTTAGCCTATAATATCAGTTAATAAGCACATATAGGCCTAGATTGTTGTGTATTCAGTAGTGTATGTAGTTTATATTTCAAGCATAAGCATGAGGCTATCTTTAAAAACCACACTTAGATGTTTCACCCTAACCAGGTCATGTTCTATATAAAGACTGTTTATGATGTTTAGTTTCCATTTCTAACTGTCTGTCAAAAGTTTGCATTATAAATGAGATTAAGTCTTCACCTCTGTTTCTCCTTTAACAGCAAGACACAGTAAAATACTCTTGTGTAACGTCTGAAATCAGAACAAAACATGCACCATGCTGTGTCTCTGGTTCAACAGGTTTTTTTTTTATTCAACGGTAAAGTCACACTAGATCAAATTTAACCCCCACAATTGGAGTACTAGCAGCATGTGTTATATACGTCTGCAGGTTAAGGATAAGGATGAACGTCATCACGTGTGTACCCCATCATTTCAGGATACATTATTACAGCCTACAACACACTAATCATATACTGCAGTGTAATTACACTCTGCAAATCCAGAGTACCACCGACTTCCTGTTCTGTTCCACTTCCGCTTTGTAGTTCTTTTTACCATGATAAAAGACAAATAATAAGCCTTCAGGAACTACAGCTACCATCAGGGCTGACACATCTGCTGTGGTTATAGTGCAGATCATTTCCATCATAATAACAGGTGGGGAGTATAGGCTAAACCCTTGTGTTTGTCCTAAATAGCAGAGATAGGCAACTGTTATTTTCTTGCAGTTTTTGAAATGAACTAAATGACCTATAGGTCTCGTGAAAAAAAGGATTCCAAACTGTAATCTTTGACTGTTTGTGTCACAAAAATGTACTACCTCTGTGTAAACCTTTTGCATATTGGCTACTTCAGTACAAGCATTACAGTAGGTCAAAACATTTCACCCTGTTTTATTTGACCTTATTCACTTAAGTTAAAAAGCAATTGTTGATCTGCAGAGTCCCTCTGCACCTTTAAGAAAAAGCTAAAGACCCAGCTCTTTCATGAATACCTACTAACTTAATGATGATGGTTTTGATATCATTGATGATGATGATGGTTGTGATGATTGTTTTTGTTTGATAACGATGACTTATAAGATGGTTTCTATACTGATTAGAGCTCTCAAGAACTGCCGTCAATGTTGTGCTTTGTAGTCACTTCCTGTCAGCACCTGTGTGTCCAATCGGACTCAAAGCTGATCATTTGCTCTTACTGACATTGTTCCATTTTTTCTAGATCCTTACTCTCTGATGTACGTCGCTTTGGATAAAAGCGTCTGCTAAGTGAATTGTAGAATTGTAGAATGATCAGAAAAGACAATGAACACGATTTACAGCTAAGCTTAAGTCAAGGGCAAGAATGCTAACAGCACAGTTTGATAGTTTTACAATAGTGAAGACATAGGCCTATAGTCCTATACTTGTGGTGTTAAATAAAACAATAACCCCTTGGTTAAAGGTATAACTTAAAATTTTTGGAAAGTGTTACAATAAGGAAATTCATTTTTAACGTAAGCTGCCTATCTTTTAACATAAGGTAGGCGACACAACGGGCCCAGCTAAAGTCATGGGGACAAACACTAACCAAAGTCCAGCATCCCATCAAATGTTAAACCTTAATTCTATATTGCTTAAACTGATAGCCTACCTAATAATAATTGTTTATAAGCCATTTAGAGTGGGCAAATACTAATATTTCTCCTACTATTACTGGCATCTTATATAGCCTCCTTGGCTGTGCTATAATAATCATACAGGCTAGCCATTCTAAATATTTAACCAATAGGTTCATTTAGGCCTAAAACGCCCAGTAACCTGGTTGGAGCGATCAGTTTTCATGTAACTGCGGTTTTTGTTATGTATCACTCGGTAAAATCCTGACTCATCGCCCTTTAATTCAGCATTACATCACTGACAACAACCACAGCATGTCAGCAGCGGGGAGGGAGGGGCGAGCAGCTCTGCTTTGTGTCCGCAGAGACAGCAGCTCTCTCCGGCTCTGATTGAGCAGCATGCCGCAGCAGAGCGACACTCCCCCTAAAAAAACCTGCGTGTTTGCCCGAGGCGTTACGGTAACGGCACAGCGCTGGAGCCAGCAGTGTCAGAGGGGGGCGGGGTTGGCATCATGGTCGAGCACCTCCGTGTCTTTGTTGAGAGCTGCAAAAAGGAGCACAGTTGGTTTACACGCCCCCTTCGCCGCGGCCTGTGCTACTTCTGAGGCCGCCTGGGGGAATCCGTAAGGCGGCATCAGCACAAGCAGAGACCCGCTGGCTGGCTGGATGTCTGCTGGCTGCTGCCTCCGTTTTCTTTTTTTCAGTTTCCGTGTGCAGGCCTGTGGTGTGAATGTAACATGTGAATGCAACGCTGTTATGTCATCACAGTGTGTTTACAGAACATGTTCATGCAGACTTAGAAAGCAGAGGGGGAAGTGGTTCACACCATTTCCTTATGATATATTTTGCTTTTACACGAATCAATGACTACTAAATGCTTCAATCATCACTTTTGTTTGCACACAGACGTTACATTCAAATTTGCAGTTTGGTGATCGCTGACCTTAATGAACTTGAGGGCTCATAAAAGCAAAGGCATGAGGTCGTATTTGAAGCCATGGCTACTGTGGAGGACGATAAGCCTCTATGGGGCACACAACACAGCCGCTTGGCATGATTTTAGGTCAAACATTTTAAAGTGAAAATTTGACTTATTTATATTTGCATTTTACACCACGTATTTGTGGTGCAGAATATGCTGCTGGCGTTCAAATAAAAAGTTCTTCATGGAAAAATATACATATGTTGAGAAAGGAAAAACGTAAAAAAAAAAAGCTCATTAAAAAGTCCTGAATTTAGGATTATGAAAATCTAAATTGAAGTCTTTAAATGAACGTATGTCTTGGGATTTAAAATGAAAAACCTTCTTGGCAGTAATTGGCCTCCGTACTATCGGCATCATTGTTTTGAAGCTGCAGTTAACTAAAGTCTTTTTACTCGCTGTAATAGTTTCAGGGTTAAGTGATGTTTTTTTCCTGATAAAAGTTAACATTTTAACCTTTAACGTTCTGTTTTACTTCCTGTTGTTTGTGCACGTCCATGCCTCTTGTTTCCTGCAGCTCCTCCTCAC